CATTAAGACTTGTTTATTAATAACTATTTTACTTAATCTAATTATCAGTTGTCAATCAACAGAGAACCGTCAGATGTCTATCAACAGCTTGAAAAACTAATCGAAACAAAATCTAAAGGGTATTATGGAATGCATCCTCGTGTACTTCGCAATTGCGCTGCTGCAATCTCCGTACCATTAGCAATGATCTACCGCAAGTCTCTCTCGGAAGGCAAAGTACCCAATCTATGGAAACTTTCAAATATAACACCAATCTTCAAGACCGGTAGTAGAAGGAAGCGCTTAAACTACGGGTCGATATCACTAATATCAGTACCATGCAAGATAATGGAGATCTTCATTCTGCTAGGTTGCTCTTCATCCTCTACATTAATGACCTACCAGACAACATGGCTCACCACATTAAGATATATGCTAATGACAGCAAAATACGAGGTGTAATCAAAACAGAGGAGGAAAAAGCACGTCTCCAGCTAGACGTTGATAACGCAGTAGAATGGTCCAAAAAGTGGCTAAAGCTGTTGAATTTGAAAAAATCCAAATGCATGCACGTAGGTTGCTCCAACAAATCAGTCTACGTCTACACAATGACTGATCAGATGGGAATAAGACAAGAACTAGGTACTACTTCAGTCGAACGCGATCTAGATGTTCTTGTTTTAGAAGACTTAAAAGTCAAGCATTAAGTTAAAGAAGCAGCTGCAAGAGCAAACCAGGTACTTAGTTGGCTTAATAAATCCTTCAGAAGCAGAGGTTTAATACTTAAGAAAGTCTTTTGCAAATTGTATTTTAGACCATACCTTGAATTCGCCATCCAATCGTGGTAGCCACATCTGAAGGGAGACATCAAGGCTCTCGAAAGGATTCAAAAGCGTGCGACGAAGCTGATTACAGACATCAAACATAAATCATATGAAGAAAGACTTACAACTCTAGGACTAATCAAAGTAGAAGATAGATGAGTTAGAAATTATTTAATTCAGCAATATAAGATTGCGCATGGTGTTGAGATAATCGAATTTGTTATGCCTCAAGTTTACGCGCAAACGCTTTCCCAGTATAACCTTCGTGGCAATAGCTTAAGACTTACTAAACCGTTAGTAAAGAACTGTGTCAAAAGAGAAAATTTGTTCACAAACCTAATCGTCAACGCATGGAATGTTTCACCATCAAGCGTTGTTAACACACTAACAGTATAAGTATAGAAACATTGTGTGTCCAATATTTGTTAGCATAGAGGTGCCTGGTGCTGCACCTCTTCATCAATATATTATAAACATTTTATTCTTCATGGACTAAAATTATAATAAATATTATTGATTTCTGAACAAACAAACAAAAAAATATCACATTAACACATCACCCATCAATTAAAAGTGTTCAGGTATATTTACAAGTTAATTTTTTCTGGTGCTTTAGAAATTCGTAAAGAGCTACGAGGAAGAATGCCTATTTGCTCTTTAGGATTTATATTGTATTCTAGTTCCTTTTTTGGAGGTTATAGGAGTTTTATTGCTAGCGTTAGGGGTTTGAGAATAGTCACCAATGGCTGTTATTTCTAGATTATTGTTTGATATTTTCATTATTGGTTTTGTTCAGATGAAAGACAGCTGTTCAGTAAACTCAGTAGTTTCATGACCACTAGGAAATCTCACATAAGTATTTGCTTTAATGAGCTGCACCTCGTTTATTAAACCTTTATATATACTTTGCATCGCATTTTTTTTTATACGTACAGGTCCGGGGTTAACAAGCCATGAATGAATTGAGGACCCAGATGATAATCTTTGTTGAAAATTGAAAAGACGTTTGTGTGGAATACAACAAGTTAAAGTACGTAATAGAGATCTTGCAGCATGAGTGCATCAGGTAAAACTCTTTTCCATGATGGTATTGACAGATTTTTGTTGGACCGCTAATTGCGATCCCTTTTGGTAAAAACCAGTGCTTTATCTCAGAAGAGATTAATGAGGATCCGCGATCAGATTGAAAATAGCTTGGCATACCAAATTTGGAAAAAAGTTCTCCTAAACAATTAATTATTGTCTGAATTGTCATATCTTTTACTGGATAAGCAAAGGAAAAACGATACTATTCGTCAACAATTGTTAGCATATATTGTTCAGGGGTTGAAGAACTTGATGGACCTTTGAAGTCAATAGATATACATTTGAATAGCTGAATTGCTTTAATTAGGTGCACAGCATTTGGGTGATAATACTTGGGTATTATTTCGTTACATATTCTACAATCTTTGCATACTTACTTTACATCTTCTGCTGAATAAGTGAGGTTTCTTAATCAAATAAAATAATAGAGGCGAGTAACACAAGGATAGCAAAGTGCAGCATGCAAATCATATAATAATTTTATTGCTGCACATCTAACACGAGTAAATGTATCTGGACCACTGTTACATTGGCCACGATGATAATAAATATAAAAATATGGAGACAAGGCTATTCTCCAAAGCATGATTTTATCATTCTTTATTTTACTGCGTGATTTATAATCATACATAAATGCCACAGACCGTTGGTTAGTGATGATAATGAAGTGTCGACCCAGAAGAAAAAAGTGCATATGATTTATAACTTCAGCTATCGCTTAAGCACCTTTCTCCACTGATAAATAGTATTGTTTACTCCCTTGAAGGGTACGTGAATAGTAACAGGCCTTCCATCCTGGTTAAGCGTAGAAGATATGGCAAAATCATAAGCATCTGTCTCTACTGTAAAAGGTATATTCTCATCAATGATCTGCATGTTAGATTGAACAAGCTCATTTTTTAATGTTTCAAATGCTGATATTTGCTGCTGATTGAGGAATTGAGCAATGGGGTTTAAAGCTCTAATTTTAGCTGAAAGCTTTCTTTTGTTTAAGACTTAGCATTACTAGGTGGAGGTAACTTAATGAAAAAAACAAGTCTCTGAGGATCAAGTTTTAAAGAGCCATAATATATACGATAATCTAAAAAATCTAAAATCTCAGTTGAAAATACACACTTCCTTACATTAAATGTAATTCCAGCATCAGTTGCAGCTAATTTGAATTTAAGCAGATTTTCGTCATGTTTTTACCACATATATATATATATATATATATATATATATATATATATATATATATATATATATATATATATATATATATATATATATATATATATATATCAATGAAAAGAAAGCAGTCAATTAATTCATATGTTTTAACAAAGTCACCTATTTTGGCTTGAAAACATGCAGATTTATTGCTAAGTCCAAAAGGCATTCTAATATATTGTCACATATTATGTGATAACAATAGCTTCGAAAGCAGTATATGGTCGATCTCTTTTGGATAAAGGTATTTGGTTTAATATTGTATTTGGAAATTATGGTTATAATTGTTTCAATCTTAGGTAAAGAATATGCGTATACAAATGGGTATACTTACTAAAAGGTTCATAATAATCAACTACCATACAACGTTTAGTCTTTTCATTTCCTACGAAGACCTGGACAAGCCAAGGTGAATTACTTGACTTTATTATTCCTGCTTGAACTAGGCGGTGAATTTCAGATTTAATAAATTATCTATTTCTTGAAAAATAATTTCTTGATTTAGTGGCAACATGTTGCCACTAAATCAAGAAATTATTTTCCAATCTTTAGTGAGATTAGTAAACAATTTAGGTAATTTGGTTTCCATTGTTGTTAAAACTGCGAACGTTATGGGTGGTCTTTACGTTGAGTAGAGCCACTAGATTATTGTTAATGAAACTTTTGTTTGTACTCCCATAATCAATTGATGGGTAATAATGACGTTGTGACTGACTCTGAAGAGAGAGAGAGTTCACTGAAGCCGATATCGTAGCACATAAGTAATTATCATCAATTTTAGGAATAGCAGCAGAAACATTAGATGATCTACAAAGTTCTTATCACTTACAGGAGTGAACTTACAGACTTTAGATAAATCTTATTTAGGAATTGATCTATCAATTCACTCGGTTTCTGCTGACTGTTGACTAAATGTGTCTGGAAAATATTTAATTCTTTGGTTTTATATAAATAGACACAAGAATACTTGTTGCTTGTTTAAACTCATCACACTCTGATGTGAATTCATAGACACTAGGTTCAATATGGTTTATTAAGAGATGGAGTAATCATCAACTGTACTTATAAAACTGTAAAATGTTCTTAACCTATGGTTTTATGTTTTTGATGCATCTGGTGAGTTCGGATCTATAACAAGTCTATCAGGTTTCATGAATTGCTCCATCTTTCTTATATTTAATAATAATATCGTAGCTTTTTTAATTGAAATGAATAATCAAATCAATTATGTTGGCTCAAAAGAGCTACAATTATACTGGTCTATAACAAAATAACAAAATACATGAAGTATATATATATTAATAGAATACTTATATGTATACATAAATATATTGATATAAATAACATAAATATCATATTACCATAATATTCTTAACTTTATTTTGAAATGTTAATTTTAAACTAAATATGTTTCCATCGGCGAGAAGTAAAACTTGATTATTATATTATTCATAAATCAGGGCTAAAAACATGATATCTCTAAGTTGAAACATTTTAACAGTGAAAACAATTTTTTTTAAAAGACGCCAATATTTTTTTATTTAATATATTTTGTAAAATCCAGGACTTTTCAGAATTTTTCATGACTTTCCAGAATTTTTCATGACTTTCCAGAATTTTTTATGACTGTAGAAGTGTTTTACAGGAAATCCAAAACAATGTTAGTTTTCAGTAAATATAAGATGGTTATAATTAGGCTTGACTTGAATAGAAACAACAGTTGTATAACTTGGTTAGAACTGTTTTTGAACTTATTGTTATGATTAAGTTGAATTTATTGACATAAAATTGTATCCTGAGTCACTATGGCTAATGTTTAAAATCTTTTTTTATAATTTTTTCTCATATAGTCAGTAAAACAATAAAAATTTACTTACTAAGCATCTAAAAAATACTTACAAAATATTTGATTAGATTGTCTATGTTCAAATCTTTATCTTAAATTTTAAGTTGACCGTGATTGATACATTTGGCTTGATTGATACATATGACTTGATTGATACATTTTAATTCACCACAAATTCTGAAAAACACAAAAAAAAACCTTTAGTAAGTGAACTTAATATTTTATTATATATAAAGTTACTAAAGGGTGAGTTGGAAACCAGAAATGTTTTTTAGATATCTACAAAGTGTCAGAATAAGCTGAAAGTATGATAGTTTTAAGTATGACTCAGGCCCATCTAATTGGTAACGTTTTGGTTTGACTTTTACATTACCTTATTGCAGTACATTCAGAGGCAATTCTACAAATAAAATGAGGGGGGTGAACCCTCAAAAAGTACCGACTAGCTTCTTAAAAAAAATTTAACCGACTGAATTGTGTCAAATAGCCGACTTTAGTCGAATTTAGTCGACAGTCTAAACGTCCCCCACACACCCCCGTAAAATCGCCTCTGAGTACATTAATAATATTCTTCAAATTAATAATATTTATCCTATTGCCAAATGTTAATAATATTTATCAAATTGCTTATGCAACAGTATTATTGCTGAATAAGCAATTTGACGAAACTGTGATATATTACAGAATATACACCTAACGTTAACTAATAAATATTGATTGATTTTATGTCAAACTTTTTTGTTATGATTTCGTTTTTCCCAATAGTTTTCCGTATTCAATAGCGCCAACAGTTGTTGTTTTTCCAAAAAAAATTTCCTATTTAACAGCGACAACAGTTATTCCCAATAGTCGACCATATAACTTAATAAAATAAAGTAAAAATTTAAATAATGTTTATAAGAATCTTTATCAATTTAAAAGTCGATATTTTACAAATAAACTGTGATGAAAATAAAAATAATTAAAAGCCAATTCAACATACACTAAAGTATTTTTTGTGTTGATTTTTGAAGTTTCTTGTTTTGAAGTTCTCTTGGACTTTTCAATTTTTGTCTTTCGTAAAAGATAATTTTTTTTTATTTCTTCTCTCTCTGGAGTTTCAGTGAGAATCTTAGATTTGTCATTTTTTCTGTCTTTATTTGTTTTTTTGTGTTTTTTTTTTGCGATGTAGTGCTTTAGGAAATGGTCTTACGGATTCAGGTGTTATTGTGTCGTTTAATTGTAAGACATAATAATTAATTTTTTTTTGACCGTCAATCATATCATCTTGTTTTTTAAAAAATATGCCATCAGATCCTTACAGTTAGATTTACTAAATGTTTTTGTCATAGGACAAATAGTTATTCTTTACTTACATAATACATTACTTATTTGTACAGAAAGCATTTCGTGAAAAAGGATAAATTCAGGTGCGGAAAAACTAGAGATAATATTTCAGGCTATATATGTAGTGGAATATGCTGATGTCAAAATGCCAAGTAAATCACGTATTGTTATTTTTTCTTCGTAAACCTGAAAATAAAAACTTGTATCTTCAGGTTTACGAAGTGAAAACTTGTTGTGACGTCTCATGAAACCTTTTAACCACTTTATACCAGCTTGTTTATTTTCTCTTCATATATATATATATATATATATATATATATATATATATATATATATATATATATATATATATATATATATATATATATATATATATATATATATATATATATATATATATATATATATATACATATTGAAATGCTAACTTGCTTGCTTGTTTGTATGTCGAACCATTACTTATTTTAGAGCTTTTTATAAGGTAGTCTTACAAGAGTAAGACTACCTTATAAATCTTCTCCTCATCTTTACTAAATATTTGTGAAACAGCATACTTAGTTGTGAACCCTGGTTTGGTCTTGGGTAATAAATCTTGTTTATATTTCTTTGTTTGGTAATGTAAAGTATTACGTTTTACATTATAATAATTAACAGCATGGTTCTGTTTCATAAATTCAGTTTGAGGAACAGCATTGTTAATATCTTCTTCTCTAATTTCTGTTTCTCTCTTTTTCTTATAGTTTTGAACCACTTTTATCTTTAAATCATCAGAATATAAGCCATTATAATCAAATTTTATTAGTGCGAAAAATTACAAAGAAATGCTTCATTAAAAGGTAAGTAAACGTAAACCAAATTAAAACTTTCCAGTAGTTTATTTATTTTTTCATTAAAGTTAAAGTTTTCCAGCTTAAAAAATTAATGTTTTTTTTTTTCAACTTAAAAACAAAAATATATGAAATTTGTTTTTGTTAACTGCCTATCTAAACCCAAACAAGTCGTAACATTTAAAATCATTTTTTTTTTTAATAAATATTTTATTTTCAAAGGTTTGTCTAAATAAATAGCTTTTTTTACAGGACCCAAACATGTCTAAAAAATTATAAATATTTAAAAATAATTAAGAGGAAGTTGGGGCACAGTGTTTGGGATTTTTTAATTGAGCAAAAGTTACAATAATTTTATCTTTTTCAATGCGAAAGGATTAAGATATACGTCCTTCATGATAAGAAATCGCTGAAGCCCAAATATTTATTATCTAACGGTTCACAGGAAGGTGTAAAGGAAGTTAAGTGATTTACTGTACCCAGTACGAGGGTACGGTGAATTTTTACGTGGGGCACAAAGAAGCAATGAACACAGCTGTGATTTAATAGTGTTGAATAGGGGCGTAACCAAATTTTGAGACTGAGGGATTAAAGACACTTTGCACTATACTTTTGGCATACTTTTGGTAAATAAATAATTGTAAAATAAAAAAATAGCCATTTTGAAAATTAAAAAAAAAAATTTTATTAATAACTTCATAGACCATAGTTCATAGGCAGTTTTTCCTAAAGGTTGTAGTTTGTGGCTGCAGTGAGGTGGCAATTTCAACATGACAACCGCTTTTTTTTTTTGCTATATCAACTGTCTTAATATAAAAGTGTTTCATGATTGGCCAAAATCTATAAGAACAGTTAGTATATTTTGAAACCTTATACAGGCTCAGAATAAGCAGAGATATAGGCAATATATCTCTGATTGGCTGATTTTGAAAGATTTTGTTTGATTGGCTGATTTTGAAAGATTTTGATTTTGAAATACTTTTACAAGTTTTAAAATCAAAACAAATGTAAAAAAGCTTACAAAAAATGAAATTGAAAAATTGCATAAAAAATCAAATAATGATAACAAAAAAAGTTTGATTTTTTTAAATCAAATTTGTACAATATAGTAACACCTCATAAATAAAATTTTGAACAAAATTTAAAAATTAATATTTTAAGAACTAAGGGGTCGTCCATAAAGTATGTCACGCTATTTTTTTCAATTTTCAACCCCCTCCCCCCCTCCTGTCACAAACTGTCACATATTTCTGCACCCCCCCCCCTAAAAAAGTATGTCACATGTTTCTCCCCCCCCCCCTCCCTCTAAAAAAAAAACAAACCATTACGGAATTTTCAACATTCTAAAAACATAGTAATAGCTATTTAACAGAATAAAAAAGACTCAATTTAACTAATTTGAAATACCTTCTTAATTTATTGGGAAAGATTGTCATCATAAAATAAAATAAAAATAGTTTTTTTATTTGAACCTTATGTTTTTCAAATTACAAATTAAACTTTTACTTTATCTACCCATTTATTATTATCCATCCACGGAGATTTGAAGTGTTCGTCTATAGTTAGGACAGACATTTCTGATGTTTTTTCTAAATCTTCATCTGGAATGACAATTCCCGAAACATCAACTTCGTCTTCATCCAGCCACTCTATATCTTCATTTTTTTCTCGAGCAATAACTACCATCAGCTCTCTTTGTCTTCTAGCGGCTACTCTTATTGGTCTGATACGCTTTGTTTGAGTTTTCTCAAGAACAGTATTTCCTTTATCGCAATTTTTGTGCAATTCAACATGTTTTTTCAAGATAGCTTGAGAAGCAAAATAGAGATGGCAAACTTTGCATATTCGATTCAATAGACAAGTCTGTACTGATGGACAAAAGAGATCATAAGGATGAACTTGGAAACTTCCTGCCGATCTGGCCATTATATCATCTATTTTAATACTATGTGAAACAAAAAGTGATGGATACTTATGAGACTCACTGTCTCCTCTTTTGTCAGCTTGAAGACCATTACTTGTTTGAATAACTGGAATTGGAGGACATAAAAATCGCGAAGGAACAACATTGAAATATGAGCTTCTTATTTTAAAGCAACATTTTACATCTTGACATTTAACAATTTGAGTAAAGTATTGACTTGTGCGGACGTGTTCAGAAAACCATTTTATATCTTTAATTATCAATTCTTCTGCATCTAGCTCAGATGTCTCTGGATCAATAAACTCGGCAACTGTTGGAAACTGGTCAATAATAACTTGTGACCATATTTCAGCCAATGTTTGTCCAGCATACTTGAAATTTCTTCTCTCCAAATAATCATCTATTGTTCTGCCCTGTGAATCGAGATGGCTACCATAGCGTTCATGAGGCAATATAACACCAGAAAGTTCTCTGCTCAGTGGAGCCATTCGACGTTCCACTCTATTGAAAGCACTTCTACCTGGCGCGTTGGTTGCAATAAATAAGGCGTCTAGATTATTTTTAACAAAATGGTGGATAGCAACATCTATGACTTTTTGATAACGTGGATTTTCATCTGGTCCTCCATCCACCGTGAAGACAACAATAGGCTTTATTATCTTATCTCTGCCGTCTTTTGTTATTGCATCAAATTCGTCTAATTGTAACAATCTCTCAAAGTCTAAACCATGAGCAAGAGCAGAAGAAGACGAATGTTTGCCTGATCGGATTGCAATATAAGTTGGACCTGAATACGTAACAGCGTCTGGTTTACCAAGTCCATCTTTCTTGATGCAAATTCCAGCATATACTGATGGAATAAGCTTATGTCTTGCTGCAACAACCCAATCGTGGTCTGGCAAATTGATGCGATATTCAACATGCATAAGCAATGGAGCTTGTTTGATTGCAGCTGTTAACCCAATAGGGACTCGCGCTTTGTCATCTTGGCTAATAAAACAGACTTCTTTTGGTCCCAGTATAGACGACAACTCTTCCAGGTGTCTCAAGGTTGCTGTACAGAATTTTCCATCGATGTGCTTTGAGTGTGACTCATTCTGAGATCGGATCAATTTGACTGGCACTGTTGATATGTGTCTTTTTCTTTCCAAAGTTGAACTTCGTCGTGGCATTAGCCGAGTGTAAACGGTGCTCCTACTCACCTGATAACCATCTTTATTTAGTTGCTTAGTCAATTCATCTAGTGTTTTAATACTGCGATACATATCACTTTGTCGTCTTTCATGTGCAGCTGATCCATGTAAAGCAATATCAACAATGGCTTTCAGGAAAAGTGGTTGATTAATTTCAACAGAAGGTCGACCTGTTTTATCTTTTGCTTTCAAAGCATCACAAACTCCAGGGTTCTCTGCGCAAATTTTAGCGAGAGTTTCTCTTTTTTTTGCTCTAGTTTTTTTCTGTCTTGCTTGTTCTTTCTTTTTTTTTTAACAAACTTTTCTCCAACATATCTACTTTTCTTCTTTTCTCAATAAGCTCTGCTTCTTGATCATTCGTAATAATACCACTGTCTTTTCTTTTATGTAGTCCAACTAAATCACTCTTGATAACATCAATTTTAACTTTTAGTTCATCTAGAACTTTTGCTTTATATTTTCCTACATTTTCAGAACCAGACGTTGATGAAGTTATCATAGAACATTCACAAGAAGAAGCTTTACATTTATTACCCCCTACAACAGTATCTGGTAATTTTGCTAGAACATCCGAGCCGATGATTTACGTGGTATAGTTTTCGCATCATCATGTCGTAATGATTGATTTGCCCAGAAACTCATCAGTGTACCTTTTTTCTTTTTAAACAGAGCATCATATTCTCTTAACAGGGAGTCTACTTTTGCAGAAAGATTATCTTCAGATTTCACCTTACTCCAAATATCATTAACTTCCTTTTGACAATCTTGTTTCCTCTTCTGTGAATATGCCTTAACATAGACATCATAAAGTGATGCGTATAACTGTCCTTTGTCCATCTTTATATTATGAATTGCCTGAAACACATTTGCACTCATTTAGAGAAATTAAAAATATTGTATTTATGCCATAATATCAATTACTACTAACTTAGTTATACTGAGCGCTAACTAGCTTCTATCCTATTTACACTATTATTTGATAATAATCTTTGTTTGCTATTGGCTATTCAAAGCATGAGCAAGTCTATTTAACTTAGTTATTATATATTATATATTTAAGTAGTCATATATTCTTGCTTAAATGTAAATATAACTAAAACTCTTATGTTTATATAATGCCATAAGATTCAAAAAAATAAATAATATAAAAGATAATATTTTAAAAATGTTTTATTTACTTATTTAAACTCTCTATTTAAAATTCCAAACTTAAATTATACGTTCTTAATTTAATGATTTTGCATTGCTGCGCTTTAATGTCTTCAGAAACGTGAAGGCAGTTTTTTGCGAACTTTTTAAACTATTCAAAACTATTTAAAATACGGCGATACGCAAAACATAAGAAGTGTAAGTAAAATTTTAGGCAATCGGAAATACTCCTTTAATTGAATGAGTAAATAAGTAGAAAATAATCATGATAAATAATTTTTGTGATGTCACATTCGTCAAACTCCCCCCTCCCCCCTTGTCACAAATTGTCACAAACTTATGCCTCCCCCCCCCCCTAGTAGCGTGACGTACTTTATGGATGACCCCTAATAAGTTTTATTATTTAATATTTCAACTGTTACTATATGTAGTTTATAAATATGTTAAAATAATTATTTCAAATACCATATTTAGCAATATTATAAAGTTTTTTTGAAATATGTTTGATTTGAGTAAGGAAAATTTCTTTATTCATCTTTGAATAGCAATATCTAATTCTTGCTTCAAGCTCTTCCAAGTTCTCAGCTCTCCATTTATTCTCGTACACTAGCCGTTTTAAATCACCCCAAAAGTTTTCTATTGGTCTTGGTTCTGGAACGTTAGCTGGATTTATATCTTTAGGTACAACTTTAATTTTTTTCAATTTTAAAAAGTCGATGACCGACTTTGCGTAATGTGAACAAGCTAGATCAGGCCAGAAGATAAACTCATTGTCTTTTTTATAATATTCTGATACTAGAGGTAAAGTTTTTTCTAGTATCTTTTTATAAGTGTACTGGTTGATTGCCTGCTTTCTGTGATGAATATAAAGAGGGCTTATTCCACGGGGGCTGATGCAACAAGAAACTAAGAGCTTGTCCTCGTACTTTTTACGCAAATTGTATCTTACTTCGTCAGAACATTGAGAAGGCTCAGCGGCATAAAACTTTCATCATCCATAACAAAATTCAAGTATTTATAATTTTTGTACAATTTACGACATTTAGAACGCATAGCTTTCTTCTGCTGATGGCTACGATCTGGACGATTTTTTTTTTGAAAGTTCGAATGTTAGTCATTGTTTTTAATACTTTGACCATTTTATTTTCAATGTTTAAATAATACTTTTAACTAAATTAAATTAAAATAGATTATAAAATCCTCTTTCAAATAAGTATAAAGGTTTTTTGCGTGCATAAAATAAATTACATAATAAATGCAATTAAAATTTGTCCGAAATTTTATTTATAAGGTGTTACTTATACTTTTACAAAAACTTCACAACTTAAAACATTCGTAATTTTCACAATATTTTTTTTAAATAAAAATTAAAAAAGAATAGTTTGTTTTCCTTATGGTTTTTATAACTCTAAGACATAAAAACGACAAACATTGTAGCAAACTATAAACCAGATAGTGAAATTTGTCTAAGCTGTGATTCTCATAGATAGATTTTTTTATAAAATCAATAGAATATTAATAACTTGGATAATTTTTTTTCACATTTAGTTCTCATTAATACTATTATTTAGCTAGAAAAATATTTTTAAAAAGTCCCTCATTTCTTTTAAGAACTTTACACTAATTAAACCTATATATAAATTATATACCTTACTAAAACATTTTAGTTTAAGAATACTGCTTATTGGTTGCTATAGCTCACCTAGGTAATTTCCAACACTTTCAATTTAAAAGCAATTGTAAGCAAGAGCTGATTTGGATTTCCTTTGGTATTTTAGAATAAAAGATTACATTGTCGCATAATAAATTATAAGACAAAGTCTATAACCTAGTCTATAAATTATAAGACAAAGTCTATAAACTTCAAATTATAGATTTTTTTTTGTCCACAAGTATGTTTTGATATAGTAAATTGATTATCGAAAAAAAATTACTCATAACTTACTACACCTTTATGAAGAACTAAGTGTAAAAAGGTAGAAACAAGAAAAAATGAAAACATGCAAATTCATGTTGTAGTTTATTTCAATTTCAAAAGCCAATACATGTAAAATACATGTTTGTTGATATACAGCTGTTAACCTGAACAAAAAATTGATTATTGTACTCTATAATTGGTAAAAAATGTTTACCCTCTAATAACAACTGATGGTAAATAATATTATTGAATAATAATAAAGCAACAAATTTTGATTAATTTTACGTTTATTACGCTATTAAAGTATTTTATATTATTTTACTCCTTAAGAAAAAACAAAACCTGTCTGCTCTAGAAAAATGAAAAAAAAAATTGTTTCTTATATATACTCTTGAGTATTTCAAAAGTATATTTATACAAAACACAATTATGATAACAAAAACACATAGGTATGACAAATGATTTTGTTCTTTTTAAAGGTTTCATTACTCTTTTTTCATTAAAACGTTAAATTTTTACTACTTAATTTGGTTTTTAAAAAAAATTTAAAAACCAAATTAAGTAGTAAAAATTGCCAAACAAAATGCAATAATCATTTGCATTTTTTTGATGCCATAATCCACTTTTATTTAGTTAAATTACTTGACTTCTTCTTGCTTATAATGTCAGAACTTTTTCTTGCTTGTAATGTCAGTTATATGTAACTGAATAAAAAATACTGTTCAGAAGACAAATATATAAATTTTACTTATTTTGTAAACTTAGTTTTTTAAATAAATTGTTAATATCCAGTTGTCATATTTTATAAGTTAATCTAACCTCCGAACCTTCAAAAAGTGTTTAATGGTTTAAGGACAAAGTTTCGTTAGAGTTATGTAATAAAAAAATATATCAGTCTCCTTAAAACGAAGATTGAAATAAAATATGAAAACAAAATCTCCTTAGTCTAAGGTAGTTTAAGTCAATATATGAACTCTAAGGCTTAGAGATCATATATTGACATGGAACATGTAAGCTAGTTTTTCAATCAATACAAATTTTCTTTTTTTTTTAAAGTACAACTTTATTGTTCAACTATTTGTAATTAACATGTATTCTAGAACTCTATTTATAAATTGATCTTTATTTATAAATTGATTTATATGATATAAATCAATTTATAAATAAAGTTCTTCAACAGTGGTCTTGTAAAACTGCATATAATCTTTGCATGCAAAAGTACATCACCAGTAGTGTCGTACAACTGCTTATAAACTTTGTACTTGAGTGTGTTTCAAAGCCGAGGAGATTATATTTTACGAAAAAAAAACAATTATGGATCTTTTTGAATTTACTTTAACACCTACTTTTTTTCTATTTCTTTAAATTAACAACAGATTAAATCATTAAGATAAACTAGGTACGCGGAAATCCCGATTTGCAGAACCAATTTTTGTGCTAAAATTTTGGTTCTCATTTTTTTAACTCTTTTTTTGGCAGCTTGAGGCACGCGTAGTTTTTGGAGTTTCTTTTTAAAATATATATACTCATAGATATATTTTTTGAAAGATATATATATCTTTATTATAGTGCGGCCGTGGCGCAGTGGTTAGAGCGCTTGCTTTTGAAGCAGGAAATCCAGGTTCGAAACGAGCCTTGGACATATTTTCCCGTCACGGTAAGGAAGGAGGCGTGAACTTTCTGGTTAAATGGATATCCGCAGTGCTCTGTGACAAGACCTTAAGGTCTTCTTGGGGCACCTAAATAACAATAAAAAAATAATAATAATAAAACAAAAGTTAATCTTAATTTATATATGACATTTATGTATGGTTACTTAACTTTTTTATGGAAAAATTGGTTGACATTCTCACATGAATTTGTAGTCAAGAAAATGTTGATCCCTTTTTTTATTATTCATATAACTTTCTACACACATTTTCTATGCACATGCGAAATTTCAACAAAAAATAAATCGCAGCAGATAATTTAATTAGTGTTATACGAAGTGTACCACCTTTTTTTTAGATAGTCTAAACTATTTTTAAAGACGAAAAGTTAATTTTCTGCATGTATTTCATATTCAAAAGCAAGAGTTTTAATCTGAAACATTAACCTTTTTTATATGTAGCATATATCATATATGGTGCATATAAAAAAAGATTAATGTTTCAGATTAAAACTCTTGCTTTTGAATGGATCATTAACTGATAGTATCACTTGACAATTTTATTAAAACACCACATTTAAATAAGTATATAAATCAGATACTTCGTTGGATAAAAACTTGTTAGTGTTTTTCAGATATAATAAAAGATATTATTATTATCAATTTTTATCATTTTTTGGATTGTATATTTCTTTATCTGTGGATTATTGTTCAAACCATACAAGCATGCTTAATGTTTACTTCTTATTTAGATCCAACCATACATTATGCTGATTTTTTAAAATTTTGTAAGTACAAATCACTTAGTTTATATACAACCACAACCAATAATTAATATATAAAAAAGTATATAACCATTCCTAATGTTAGCTTGTTTATAAACATATATTTTCTTTATATTTTCAGTTATATTTTCATTGTTTATTTTCATTTTGTTAATAAAGTTATTGCATCTTACACAGAATTGATTAGACAAATATTACTTTTGTAACTTACTGTTGACAACTTCATAGTGTTTTGTATCACACAATTTTTTTGTTATCTTTAGTCCGATCTACACAGCCTACCATTGGTAAGTTTGTATCGGATAACTTTTAGTAATGATTATAGAATAACAAATGTAAGCATGTATGTTGCGATTAAATTTATATTATTTTTAATCTTCACTCCTTTCATCAGTTGCCGGTTAGTAATTTTAAAAGCTAGTACTTTTTAATTTGTAAATAGATTTAATACCAATTCCAAAGTCATCAATTGCTATTTCTAATTTTTATTAAAACTTTTTAACTTTAGCTACGTCCTCGTCTGCTGCCACATACATACTTTAGCTCAATTCTCGTCTGAGGCGAGTTTAACAATTCTTACTTTTAAGTAAGAATTGTAGTTTAACAATTCTTACTTTAAAATTATTAATTTAAAAACAAAGCATTGACAAGTGTAATAGTTTGTATAGGAAATATTTTTTATGCTTTCAATGTAATTAATAGTTGTAAAAGTAGCAAAGTTGTAACTATAATTAGTTATAATTTTAAATTTAAGTCTTTAATAGACTTTTAAATACAATTTTTTGAGAATTTCATAGCTCATATTAAATACAGTATTAAACATATGTCTAATTTTTTGAAATGGTAAATGTGAAAAGTCTTTTGCATACTTAATTATTATTCATATATTAGTTTTATGTAATTTCTTATTTTTGTTTATTTAAACTGTTTGTTTGACTTAAATTATTTAATTTTAAACTAGTTTAAATTATGTTTAAAGTTCCTAAAAATTATATTTACATTATTGAGGTTGAAATACTAGTATGTTGTAATCATTACTTGTTTGTAGAAGATATGCATGAGATTTTTTAAATCTATATTATTTACTTCTTTTTTTTACATGTTGTATTATAATGTTATTAATCGTTAACAAATTATGGTATATTATTTATTTACTTTTCAAAATATTTAGTTAAAGCTATAATTATATTAACTTATAGTTAATTAATATATTAATATATTATTATATAAATATATTAAAATATAAATAATTATATTAAATTAAAATATAAAAATATAAATAATTATATTAAAACTATAATTATATTAACTCTTCTTTTTTAAAGGAATTTTTATATATACTTTTTAAAGGGATTATGGGTCCAAAAAGGAATTATGGGTCCAAAAAAAAGTGCAGGTATGTTTCTGGATGCAAAGAAAAAAGAATCACCTGGAAATTTCACTTTGCATGGCGAAATACATACACACTGTAAAAACGGACATTTAATCCTTTTATTCATTATTAACGGTGAGTCAATTGTTAATACGCTTAAATAAGTCAATGAGTTATTTAACTTGTAAAGTAAATACTCCATCAACTAAGTTTTAGCTTAAAAACTAGTAAATATTAACTCTATAATGTTATCAATATTTCAAAAAATAGGACTACAAATTATGTTAGGGATTGTTCGAAATTTATTGAATTTTAAAAATTTTAGTTATAGGCATTTGGATAAGATTTGACAAAGTTAAAACAATTTTAGTGAAAAAAAAAAAAACTTTTAACACCAGTTTCTTAAATAAATTCATAATTCTAAAATTTGCTACTAAAATATCATTGCATTTTTTTGAATGGTTCGTTTTTGATAATTTTTTCACTGTATTGAAGGGCATTCTCATGATATATAACATTTTTGTATATTTAAAAATTTCACGTATCTAGATAAACTTTATTGAAATTTTGAAATTTTTACGAGTGAAATTTCTTTTGTACAAATAGATTTTGATACCTTTTAAATGCTCTGAAGAGAACTTAAAAATAAAATGAATTTTCTTGATTGTAACGCAATACATGTATTGATAAACTTAGTTAATCATTACTTTGAAACTTATTTCAAAAATTTGCTTGTTTGATTTTAATTATATTTTACTTGCTTGATTTGATTTTGGATATCAACAAAAGTGCACTTGCCTCTTATTCAAAATCAGCGAATCAGATTGTTCATATTTCTGCCTATTCTAAACCCGTATAGGGTTTCAAAATATGCGAACGGTTATTGGTTGGAGCATTTTGTTGATGTCATCCAACCTGAAACGTGAGATGTCCCGACTGCTCCAGGTGGAGCACCGTGTACCCTTTAATCTTTAAAATTGAGCAGCCGTGGCGCAGTGGTTAGAGTTCTGGCTCAGAACCCAGAGGTCTGAGGTTCGACGCCAGCTCTAGCCCAACAAGCGACATTGGTACGGAAGGAGGCGAAAACTTCCTGTTAAATGCTCTCCCGCGGTGCTCTATGATAAGACCGTAAGGACTTCTGGGAGCACCTAAATACATACAAAAA